ATACAAATGATGATGGTGATTATTATTATTATTATTATTATTATTATTATTAAGCTTCCTCCATTTTAAAAAAAATTGAAAAGGAGGACACCCAAATGTTTTACCATCCTTGTGGGAGGCTTCTCTCACATTCCCGCAGAAAAGCTGGAGCTGACAGACAGGAACTCACTCCACTCCCCGGATTCGAACCACCGACCTTTCAGTCAGCAGTCCTGATGGCACAAGGGTTTAACCCATTGTGCCACTGGGAGCTCCAGTTCATAGCATTGAGCCATGGCAATTAAAGTACTGTCAAACTCAATTATTTCCACAGCATAGATACACTCTGTGTCTTCCATGAAACTTATACAGCAGGCTATCTTAGTGACATGATGTGTAATACACAACTCTTTCCTTGAATATCTTGCTGCTGTTTCTGAGCTTGTGCTTCCTGCATTATCTCACTCACTTTGCCAAATACCAAGTCTGGTCTTTTTATCAGGTCTGGCTTCCAAGGAGGTATGGTTCTAGGGTACTGCAGTTTGTAGCATTGAATAAATTTGAATCCTGTCTGAGAGCACCTAACAGAAAGCAGAATACTACTCTGTTCTGGTTACAGAAAATATTTTGAGTATTTTAGTGAACCTCACAGGGTATTTAATTGTCCCTCCTTTGCTCCCAAAGAAAGAGACGTCATGTAACAATCTGAACCTTCATTCATTGCCTGGATTTCCCATTGCCACAAGTGCTGAAAGCATGTGTTTAGGCAGATAGGCATCTTTGAGGCAAGCACACTTTACAAGTTTGCCACCCAAGGAGGGAGAGTACAAAGGAGGTACAATTATATAGGCTCATCACACAATGTTCAGTGACCTGGTTCCCACAAAGGAAGGCTCAGGAAGCATATAGAGAAGGAACCAAATTATATTAGAATATTGTAATCGTAGACATTGCATAACAGAACACTACTTGCATCACAAAACAGGAATTTGAAAAAGGTATTTATTAAGCTGGGAGACTCTAGTAAATTTCTCCCAAAGCCATCTAGAGAAAACTAGTAATAGGTTTGAAATCGTCATAATTCTGAATGAATTGTTCATACAATTCCATAGATATATTTCTGTTTGTGTTTTTAATTCTTTCTCCTGCATGTTTATTTTGTCTTACTCAGATTTGTAAATGTTACAATATATTGCACAGCAAAAAAAAAAGCTTTTAAAAATTCAGCAAACAGTCATATTATAAACTCAAATTTGAAATAGTTTAAAGCATCTAAAGTTGATAAAGGTACTGTGTACTCCTTTAAAAGACCCTCTTGCCACAAGTTCATAGCTAAATGCCTGCCTAAATGAAAAGGTCTTTGTTTACTGGCAAAAGGAATCAGGACCAGCTTTGCCTTCTGTAAAAAGTAATTCTACAGTCTGTGAGCATCAGCATCTAGGCTCAGGTCTCAGTACACCTAAGGTTTAAACCTGAAATTTCAGGGCAAGTGTAACCTCATCCAACACAAAGTGAGTCTTTGTTTCCTGCTCTACCTTTTGATTTGCCAGGAGTAAATCTGTCTTGCCTGGATTAAGCATCACTTGGATCACCTTTGTGCAGACTATTATTGACAGCAGAAGCAGTAGTTTAGCAGTCGTACAAAAGAGCTAGACTCCCCAAAAGCCATCGGCATACTCTAGAAAAACACATGTAAACACATACTTCTAGTGTTTACATATATAGAATGGGGGATTAAACTGAGCCTTTAGGAACTCCAGCAAGCCATTGCCCGGGGGTTCAAGCTAGAATCCCCAACACCATGTTTTGCAGTCGCCCCTCTAAAAGGGCCAGAACCAATGCTTCATAGTCATATCCCAGATAGAGGAATATGAAGGATATCCATCTTTGTTGTATCAAAGGCCACCAATAAGACCAGCAAAACCAACATAGGTATACCCCCCTATTTGTTCTTAGTGTACCCATTCACTAAGGTAACTAAAGTTATCTTCATCCCATAACCAAGTCTGCAGGCAGATAAATGTATTTATATTTTTATCTCATCCAGAAACCCCTGGAGCTGGAAGCCTACTTCTCACTCTAGAACAGTGGTTCTCAACCTGTGGGTCCCCAGATGTTTTGGCCTTCAACTTCCAGAAATCCTAACAGCTGGTGAACTGGCTGGGATTTCTGGGAGTTGTAGGCCAAAACACCTGGGAACCCACAGGATGAGAACCACTGCTCTAGAACATGGCTCAACCCCCAACCCCCATGGGCTTATAATTCTCTGGTGTTGTGAGGTTCAGAGGAGGTGTTTTCATTTCTCCATCAGAGACATCAACATGGACACCTAAGAAAGCAACAGGATACTCCCCAAAAACCAGCAGGAAACCATTCAAATTTCCTCCTCCTCTTCCCTGGTTGGATCATTATAATGGTGTCATTTCTGTAAGAAGCAGTGACTCCCAGTGAATCTAATAGACACTCCCTGTTTAACTTTCCTTCCCATGCTCTCCACATCGTTTTTAAAAACTAATGCTGGTAGTGCGGGCTGATTAAAAGATTTCTAGCTTGCAAAGGAGGGCAGACATCTCCCTGACCCCAAGCAGAGAAATTGGCCACCACACAACCCCAGAAGCAGCTCCTCCATTGGAGTGACCCTCTATGGTGTCACCACTGCCAGAACAAGACCCATTGCCTTAGGCAGACAATTTGTGTCTCCCTATAAGAAGAGAATATATAACCTTACTCGGCACCTGAGAAGACATGGTTCAAAGGGGGATCTTGGACAACAGCTCATGCCAGGGAGAGACACCAGCAAGAAGGCAGTAGTATTGCTTTCTTCTTTGAATTGTGATGGGGTGCTTGTGCTCTTGTGTGCGGACTCCTCCCAGATGGACTCAAATAATAAATAACCGGGTTCAATACTAAGGGAGCTTCGTCTTCAGAAGAACAGGTAAAAAATATTATTATTATTATTATTATTATTATTATTATTATTATTATTATTATTTATAGGCCACCCTATCTCCCCAAAGGAACTCAGAATGGTTTCCAACAAATATGGCAAACATTCACTGGCAAAAGAAAAGCCATACAAACAGTTTACATCAGGACCAGACACATTAGACAATATAGAACTATGTATCTATAACTTAATAATAATAATAACAAAAAATATAAAAGAAATGAAATAAAAACATCATAAAATAAAAAACCCCTGATAAAACACACTAAAAGTTCAATAAAATATAAAACCAAATACATCAGATCTCTATCAGGCCAGGTTCAACAATAGTGCTAAAATGTATCTAATCAACTATAAAAAGGGCTGGGCAAGGGATAGTGCAAACAGCGTACCATAGGGCCAGAGGAGTAGATAAAGTGCAGAACTGAGTACTATCTGGTGACCTAGGGACTGGGCCTAGGGACTAATTGTTCTCAAAACCTTGCTGGAACATCCAGGTTTTCAGTTGTTTCCAAAAGGAGGGCAGTGTGGGGGCTTGCCTAATCTCCATGAGGAGGCTGTTCCAAAGTCGAAGAGCTACCACCAAGAAGGCCTTCTACCTCATCCCCACCAACCATGCTTGTGACAGTGGTAGAAGAGAGAGGAGGGTGTCCCCGGCAGATGTTAGAGCCTGCACTGGTTCATAGAGGGAGATGCGATTGCAAAGATAAGCAGGGCCTGAACCATGTAGGGCTTTGTAAGTCATAACCTGCACCTTGAATTGGAACCGGAAACTTATTGGCAGCCAGTGGAGCTGCTTTGATAAGTGTGTTGTGCGCTCCCTATAATTAGCTCCCAGTAGCAGGCATGTGGAAATGATGTTGCTTCTGCCTGGTATATTAAAATAGGTGCAGTTAATACACCTACTGCTGTAAGAGGAGAAATATTTGATATAGGACATTTTATGTTACTATGCTTATTAATTTTATGAAATCATATATTTTCCGAATAGATTAATAATGTATTCTTCCATGTGGAAGATTTTCCACATGACGGGGGTGGGAGAGTGGGATAAGCATCAATTCCAGAAAACATTATACATTGCTTTGTTTACCTAATAAGTTGCATGATGTGGTCAAGGACTACAAGAATATTCTTGGAAATGGTGTCCCATTACAACATTGTGGTTTTGCTTTGAGCTGACCAGGGAAAGGTTAAATGTTTGTGGTAAACACTGAAGAATCTTGTGTGTCGTTTCAGTTGATAACATGTAAGCCAGCATGTGTAGCAGCTAAAGCTAGGTTATCAAGATCTTGCTGTCAATGGAAAAAATACTTGCATTTTAAGTCACCTGCAATTAATTTTTACAGCTTAAGTCCCTGTCATACTGCTGCTTGAGTGCATAGATCTAAGAAGGAACTCTTGCCTAAATTGGTTCCTTGCTATTTAGGCTTGTAGCATATCTGCTGGTATATTCAGCACCTAGGCTTTGTTTTACCTCTTCAGAAGCTTGAAAAGTAGCATATCCAGGCTGTATTGAACACGGAATATTTTTCTGCTGGGAAATTGGATATAAGACCACCAGATATAGAAATGATACGATAGCAGCCCTGTATAGAAAAGCAGCATCTATTTAGTACTTGAAACTTTATTCAAGGCATTTCCTGTAAATTCACTTCCCCCTATCACTATATTTCTCCATTACTGTAGCTGCACAGCAGAAAATGTTCTTTATTTATACCACCTAATGCATTTGTTAATTATATTAATTCTGAACCTTGGGTTTCCTAGTTCACAGCTTACTCTTTGTGTTGATTATACTATGTTATGTTAATACTGTTTTATTTTATTTGCTATTTCATGTATTTTGTTATGGTGTGATTTTTTTTCTTTATTGTTTTGTGTTTAATTATGTTGTATTATTTTCGGGCTTGGCCCCATGTTAGCCACCCTGAGTCCCCTTTGGGGAGATGGTGGCACGTTATTAATAAAGTTTATAATTATTTTTGTTACTCTTTTAGCCACAAAATTGTATTTGGAATGTAAAATTATTGATTCCATTGATTGTGACCAAAATTTAAATATTTTTTTATAGGAGAACTTATAGAAGGTCTCAGAGACAGCGATTACCTTTTGATTCATTCTTGCCGACAGTGGACAACCATTACTGCTCACAGTCTGGAGGAGGGTCATTACGTCATAGGGCCAAAGATAGAAATTCCTGTGCATTATGCCGGTAAGTGTGGTTTCAGCTCTAAACTAAAAATAAATAAATAAAGTGTGTGAGCTTCTTACTACCAGCACCAGCTTTTTTTTTTCCTTGGTAAAAGAAATTGGCACTAATACTAAAAGACAAAATACATCTTATTCATACCACTACACATGCTTCTATTTTAATTAGCAAAACCTTACTGAAAGCTAGAGGGAAATGGCACGTCTCATGTGAAACAATCTACAAAGTTGTTTTGGACAATTGATCAGATGCCAGGAACGTAGTTGCCTCAGAATTTTATTCAGCCACATAACAACCTGCTTATGTCACTTCTTGGCAGTAGCCCTGTGTGCATCTGAATAAACATGTGAACTTGACATAAGATGCCAACTGAGGGCTCACTTTGTTTTTTCTGTTGTAAACAACAATTGTTGTTTGCCCTGTCACACTGTTCAAAGTTAGGATTCATACATGCCTCCTGTTTCTGTCATATTCTAAATGTTCTTTGTGGTTGTAGACTAGAACAAGCAACAATGGCCCTTACGATTAGCTTGTTTTATCTGTCTGGAGTCACTCTTGCCTCTTTCTCTCTCTGAGTCCAAGATTCAACAGTCCACCTTTGAAAGAAAGACTTTTTTGGAAGGCACAGGTTGTAAATGTAATGTATTCAAATCTTATTAAGTTTCCTTCCTGTAATGCCTTGATTGAGGCTGTGGTTGAAATATTTGCAGTCACAAAATTCCCTTACTCGAACATTTTCAAATTCTTCAATATATTCAGCCTCAGAATGACACAGGAGTCTTCCTGATGAACCCCTTGACTGCATGATGCCATGGTGGAAGGAGCAGCAAAAAGCAAAATTGTGTTTGTCAGGTTAAACCTCCCCAGCCCTGGAGAATCTTTTGGGTCGGTTTCTTGGATTAAGGCAGGCTCTTGTAGTCTCTTTCCACTCTGTTGTCACTCCTACCACTGTCCCTTAAAAGAGAGAGAGAAGATGAGAGAGGGAGACCAGCCTAAGAGCTGAGAAGGAAAGGGCATAGAAAGGCTCAACACTGAGGCTGATGCATCTTACTGTTATGCTATGCAGTATTACCCACATATCTAACAGGGATACCTTCCAAGACTACTACCATTCCACTCACTCCCCGAAGATACCTGAAATTGCAAATGCTAGTGAACCCAACTAATGTTACTATTTATCATTGAATAGCACTGGAGGACCTAGACACAAACACTTTCAGGAGGGACTACTTTTGGAGCAGGATAAGCGACGTTATCAAGTACATAGATAAAGGCACCATATACTCTACTACCAGGGATGTAGTGAAGAAGGTTGCAAACTGAAGGCATTGCCACCCTTAAATCAGAATTCTGCCCTGAAATGATTTTTTGAGACTCCACGTTTCTAGCATTGCAGTCATTTAAAATGTCAGTTGAGCATTTAGGAAAACAACTTAGACATCCAGAAAAAGAAGCGAAGGAAATTAAGGGGAACTGGATTCTGCAGGCGTTTTGACCCCACCCTGTGTTGCTAAAACCCTGTATACCTGCCACAGTTCAGTCTAATGTGAAACAGCCAAATAGTCTCTTTCTTATCAAGTATCAGAAGCTATGTGAATAAGTTGGCAGGCATTCTTATAAACATGTTATTTAAAACATCATAGCTATTTAAAGGATACTTCCAAAGACCTTTATAATTGGGTAACCGCATGATCAGATTACTTGCATTCATGGTTGTAATTGCATTCATGGCAGTATTTGCTCTCACCCCAACAATACGAGACTAATTTTTCATTTTAGTCTTTCACCAAATAAGTTTCTGAAACCTAGAGCTTGAAATTCCTTTTAAAAATTAGAATGGGCTTATAGTTTCCACATATATATGTGTTTTCTGTTGATGTTGAATGTTCTTTATGAACCATTCTTGTTTTGGTATCATAGAATTATACAGGTGGAAATAACTTTGCCAGGATGTTGTATGCAATCCCTTACTTGGATTGCGTATAACAACGTGGCAAAGTTATTGCCACCTGTATAATTCTATGATACCAAAACAAGAATGGTTCATAAAGAACATTCAACATCAGCATCAACATGGGAAGTGATTCAGCCTCTGTTTAATGAACTCCAGTGGGAGACTATCACATCCCAAGGCATTATCTTCCTTTATGGAACACGGTTCCCATTAGGAAATTTTCATTTCACACCCAAACCTCATCTGCACAGCACACTAAGAACAGTGTTATATCTGTCATTGCATTGGCTTTTCCCAAAATACCCTAATAGTAATTGTTCAGTGAATATGAGTTTTGTTCTAGAGATCACTTGATATATGGAATATTTGCATGATTCCATAGAACACCATGAGTTATAATTTTGTTCTGTAGTGAGAATGCAATCTAAAAATTGCAACTGAAAATCAAGCCTCCTATCTAGTGCATAATTAAAATACAATGGAATATTATTTCTCCCTTTAATAGACGAAAAGTGTATGTGCATATGTTGAAATAAAATGCAAAGTATTTTGTATCTACTTATGGAATATATTCTGGAAAGATGGACAGTATGGTTGATGTTGTTTGGCAGCACATTGTTTTTTCCCCACAAGTTAAGTGATATCTGATTAGAGGAATGAAATTCTGGGTTCATACCTTGTTATGAAATAATTTAACGAAAGCTTACTGTCAGATATTTGTCTCCTTGATGATCATGCTAAATTGGATGGATTGACTTTGGTTCCTTTTCAGTTCAAGAATATTAGCTTTAAGATGTTTTCATAAGATTTCCATGTCTGTGTTGGGGATACGAGAGTGTGATTGATCTCCTTATAAAAGAAACCTTGTAATTTTGTTTCTAGGTTCTTGTGGGTTTTTTCGGGCTATAGAGCCATGTTCTAGAGGCATTTCTCCTGACGTTTCGCCTGCATCTATGGCAAGCATCCTCAGAGGTAGAGAGGTCTGTTGGAAGTAGGAAAAATGGGGTTTATATATCTGTGGAATGACCAGGGTGGGACAAAGGACTTTTGTCTGCAGTTAGGTGTGAATGTTTCAGCTGATCACCTTCATTAGCATTTGAAGGCCTGCCTGAGTCTGGGAAAATCTGTTGCTGGGAGGTGTTAATCTGTGCCTGGTTTTTTCCTCTCTGTTGTTTAGCTGTTATAATTTTAGAGTTTTTTAATACTGGTAGCCAAATTTTGTTCATTTTCATGGTCTCTTCCTTTCTGTTGAAATTGTCCACATGCTTGTGGATTTCAATGGCTTCTCTGTGTAGTCTGACATGGTGGTTGTTGGTCTGTGTTCTCAATTTCAACATAAAGGAAGAGACCATGAAAATGAACAAAATCTGGCTACCAGTATTAAAAAACTCTAAAATTATAACAGCTAAACAACAGAGAGGAAAAAACCAGGCACAGATTAACACCTCCCAGCAACAGATTTTCCCAGGCTCAGGCAGGCCTTCAAATGCTAATGAAGGTGATCAGCTAAACATTCACACCTAACTGCAGCAGGGAAGAGCTCCTTGCCCCACCCCAGCCATTCCACAGATATATAAACCCATTTTTCCTACTTCCAACAGACCTTCTCAACCTCTGAGGATGCTTGCCATAGATGCAGGCGAAACGTCAGGAGAAATGCCTCTAGAACATGGCTCTATAGCCCGAAAAAACCCACAAGAACCTAGTGATTCCAGCCATGAAAGCCTTCGACAATACAATTTTGTTTCTATTTGCTGGGAAATAGTATAAATTATATTCATGGAGGTCTTGTGCAACAAATGGTTCAGCTAAGATGAGAAAAGGAAATTCAGATATCACTTGAAACTATCTTGGCACTTTCCTTTAAAAAACATGAATGAGGGTATCAGCTTGTTATTAAACAATGTATTTATTAAAGAAAGATGAGACAATATAGTGGTTTGAATATTGGACTTCGACAAACCAGGATTCAAATCCCCACAGCCATGAAAACTCACTGGATAATCTTGTGCAAGTCACACACTTTCAACCATGAAAAGCAGACCATGTCAAACCTCCTCTAAATAAATATTGCCAAAAAATCTTAAGATCATAAGTAGGAATTGACTTGAAAGCAAACAACAACAATAACAACATGTAAAAGAACAACACTGTTCCATGTTTCACGTTCTAGTGCTTTGTTTCTGAGAAACATCATAATCTAGAAGTCTGGTAGCTGGAACTGGAGCAGGCTGCAAGTAACTGACTCTTCAACTCTTCCATAGGACCTCCTAATTTGAACCTAATCATAATAATAACAACAACAACTTTATTTATATCCCATCACCATCTCCCAGAAGGGACTCAGGGTGGCTTAAAGAGAGCACATAATAGTGCCATAAAACACACAAAAACAAATAAAATATTTACAACAATAACAACTAACATAAAACATCACCCTTAAAAAGCCCAATTCAATTTAAATAAAATACTCAATAAAATGCAGCAATAGCTCCTATTAAAACGGGCAATACAACCACATTAAACATCCCAGCCGGAGCCGAATTTCAAGTAACTATAAAGTGCTAGTCTAATTAATCCTCTAGTTTAGCTGTTGTCTAGTCATTGTCAAAGGCCTGCCAAAAAGACTATGTTTTCATCTCCCTATGAACACATTGCAGAGTGCGAGCTTGCCTAATTTCCCTAGGCAGGCATTCCAAAACCAGGGACCACCACCAAGAAGGCCTTCTCCTTCGTCCCCACCAACCGCTTTTGAGACAGAGGTGGGACCAAGAGGAGGGCCTCCCCGGCAGATCTTCGAGCCCACATAGGTTCATAGGAGGAAATGCAATCATGAAGATAGGCTGGACCCAAACCGTGTTGGGCTTTGTAGGTGATAGCCTGCACTTTGAATTGGGACCACCAACTTGTCGGCACCCAGTGGAACTGCTTCGGTAGGGGTGTCATATGCTCCCTATAGCTGGCCCCCGTTACGTTACTCAGTCTAATATACTGAGTAATGTAAAACAGAAGCCTATTACAGAGAAAATCAGTTAATCCCTAATCAATC